TCATACTTGAACTCCTAATCTTGGTAGTAAGATTTCATATGAATTCCTCTAATAAAACCATGCATAAACATCTTTGTGGGTAGTGGTGGCAAAAGAGCCCGTCAGCTGGAGCGGTTCATGGCTCGACTTGAAAAATGAGATTAAACCTGAATTCGAGGGCAGTCTTCGAGCAGCATGAGCACAAATACGGGCCGACCCGTATGTGGGCTCGTATGACCCATCTTGCATAATTAATTTTTTTATTTTATAAATTTATGATCTTAGTAAAATTCACCAACTTGCATAATTAATTTTGTAATTTCTAAACTAATAATTAATTTTTCATATATTCGAGTAAAAAATAAAAAATCGAAAAGCGCTAATAACTAATTAAAAGTTAAAAGCACACACTGAAATACTACTTTCCTCTTTCAGTCACTTCAATTCGTTTTGGGCACTTAAGACTTTTTTCTAATTTAGAAAGATAAGGTTCACAGAAAACTTGAATTTAAGATTTTAATTGAAATCCAAATTACTTTTCATGGTTAATAATATGCCTTCGCACTGAAATTGACTAAATGCCATAATTTCATCCAATTCGGACTCGTAAAGAAATAAGAGTTACGCAAAATGGACCAATAAGTTATTAGACGATTTCAATGTGGACAGAGGTTTCCGTTAGCTCTATTCGAGTCTCATTATTTTAAAATTTATTTTCAATCATACATTTTTTTAATAAAATAATTTTACACGTAGATGCAAAATCTTTCTAACGATACAAAGAGCACGCAATTTGACCTTGAAATGAAGAAAATATAAAATTTTATAAGTTTCTGTTGTAATTAAAGTTAAATATATTACCACCACAATTTTTGGTTATTACACACCACAAATAAAACACGTTTTGATATATATATATATATATATATATATATATCCATCCTCTATAACCACAATTTTTGGTTATTACACACCACAAATAAAACACGTTTTATATATATATATAAAACTATAGATACATAGTTTCGAACAAGAAAAATTCAATATCTTCAATTTTTTTCAGAAAAACTTTAAATTACAAAAGAGACTTTAAAACCTTATATTTTCTTCGCCAAATTGCATGTTCTTTGTACAGTTAGAAAGATGAGTGAAAGGGATTTCAAGAAATACCAACTACTACTGGGTGGGTCGAAATACAGCATATATAGAAAAAGAATGAGCATACCTTTAATTTTCTTCTAAACACAAAACTAAAAATGCTGAAAATTCACGTACCATGGAATATTCAATTATTTATATGGAGTAATACACGATATGACATTCATTAAAAATGCCTAAAGCTTCACTATAACATTCTCAAACCTCAGATACTTCAAGCATGGGGGACGGAGAAGCCTCAACGCTAAGCTCGGTTTCTCCCGTCGGCCCATTATGATTATGATTATTTGCAGCAGCTTCTAATTCTTCATTCAAGTGGGTACTTCTCCAGTACCTTTGAAACAGCTTAAGGAGGCATATTACCATCAGTATTAAGCCGGTCGCAAGAGTGATTTTAACTGAGAGAGAGATACGGATGACTGGTTGTTGGTTGGGCAAGTCCATGGCTCTGTAAATCAGGAATTATATATAGACAAAAATCAAACGAAGTATAACTTGACTTGTTAATTATAATCAATTGTGAATCGTGAATTCTTATTATCACATAACAAAAGGCTAAACACAACTCATGCAT